GTATCGTTAGACTCTTCCAGTCCTTCAGCTTCTGCCTCAGGAGCATCATTAGATTCTTCCAGTCCTTCAGAGGCAGCCTCAGGAGCATCATTAGACTCTTCCAGTCCTTCAGCTTCTGCCTCAGGAGCATCATTAGACTCTTCCACTCCTTCAGCATCTGCCTCAAGAGTCTGGAAGAGTCTAATGATGCTCCTGAGGCAGAAGCTGAAGGACTGGAAGAGTCTAATGATACTCTTGAGGTAGAAGCTGAAGGACAGGAAGAGTCTAATGATGCTCCTGAGGCTGCCTCTGAAGGACTGGAACAAACTATTGATGCTCCTGAGGCAGAAGCTGAAGGACTGAAGGACAGGAAGAATCAAATGATCTTCTGCCTCAGGATTATTAGTAGTTTCTTCCTGTCCTTCAGAGGCAGCTTCAGGAGCATCATTAGAATCTTCCTGTTCTTCAGCCACTGCCCCAAGAGCATCATTTAATCCCTGCTGACCTTGTGGAACCACCTTAAGACTTCTGCTTGTTGTTTGGTCAGACTTTTGTCCTACTTTCAAATAGTAGTCAGCTGTTCTCCCTTTCTGTAAAGAATATGATAAGATACTTTCATTTAGTGCAAAGCATTAGATTTTATTATTAAATACTGGAAATAGGTTTTAAAAATCAACTGTCTGTAACAATTAAAAACACTGAATTCTAAATAATTGTGTTTTATTGCCACATTCAACTTACTACAAGAAACTGCTAGTGGTTAGAATAAAGGAATTTTAGATGTAACACTTTAAATAGCTTCTGCTGTACTTAATGGTCTTACAATAAGAACTTTCAAGAGAAACTTATCATCAACTATTAGTACTTATCATCAAATTCATAAGGAAAAGTTCATTAACTGTTTTCTTTTTTTGTACTTAACAGGTGAGATTATATGATAAAAGTTCATAAAAAAACATCTGAAAAATTAGTGCATTCATACCATTACAGATATATTTTCTTGTGCACTGATAAATGACAAAGTATTTCATTAAGTTTATTATATAGGATTGGCTTCAATAAGTTATAACTTGCTTTTTAGTTCTGATCCAGATAGTTTACTTTTGATCAGAAGCATCTTCCTGTAGCATGAGTAAAGAAACACCACAGTTTACATATAAAATAATTTTAGGAATTTAATTTTTAAAGGTTTCCAGAAAGAGAAGTATACAATATAACTGTATATTTATTCACTTCTAGTTTATTGGCTATAAGGATATTTGCTCAGTACTATAACTTTATAGGGCCAGGACATTGGAGCTACAATGTCCGAAGTATTGTTTAACAAACGATTACACTTACTACACAAATAATAAAAATTCTCTGTTTTATAGCTAGTTAGCCATCCAGTTAAAATATCACAACTACCTAATGTAAGTGAGTTTCATCCTAAACTTTAAAGTTTTGTATCCCAGCCAATCAGCAATGATGAAAATGTCTTAACAATATAAAAAAAATGCTATTACACATTTTTTTAAAGAAAGACTTTATTGGATTAGTCATGAAGTCATATCTTAAAATTATACTGGATAATATATTCATAAAACAAAACACCTGATAATCTGAGCACATTTCAAATAGGCTTTGAAGATATTTAGTAATATTAATAAAAACATGTCAAAAATGCTACATAATTCACATACTAAAGCCTATTAAAGCATACTAAGTAATTTTCTGCTATTAAAAGCTCAAACAAACATTTTATTTTCTCATAATGCAGTAAAAGATCCAGTATTACCTGATCAAGTGCTTTAGGGTTACTAAAGAATCCAGTATTACCTGATCAAGTGCTTTAGGGTCACTAAAAGATCCAGTATTACCTGATCAAGTGCTTTAGGGTTACTAAAGAATCCAGTATTACCTGATCAAGTGCTTTAGGGTTACTAAAGAATCCAGTATTACCTGATCAAGTGCTTTAGGGTTACTAGAGAATCCAATATTACCTGATCAAGTGCTTTAGGGTCACTAAAAGAATCCAGTATTACCTGATCAAGTGCTTTAGGGTCACTAAAGAATCCAGTATTACCTGATCAAGTGCTTTAGGGTCACTAAAAGATCCAGTATTACCTGATCAAGTGCTTTAGGGTTACTAAAGAATCCAGTATTACCTGATCAAGTGCTTTAGGGTCACTAAAAGAATCCAGTATTACCTGATCAAGTGCTTTAGGGTCACTGAAAGATTCAGTATTACCTGATCAAGTGCTTTAGGGTCACTAAAGATCCAGTATTACCTGATCAAGTGCTTTAGGGTCACTAAAAGATCCAGTATTACCTGACCAAGTGCTTCAGGGTCACTAAAAGATCCAGTATTACCTGATCAAGTGCTTTAGGGTCACTAAAAGATCCAGTATTACCTGATCAAGTGCTTTAGGGTCACTAAAAGATCCAGTATTACCTGATCAAGTGCTTTAGGGTCACTAAAAAATCCAGTATTACCTGATCAAGT